TCTTGTTAAGATTTTTGTAACATGATGTATGAATAAAGTGTGTCATTATTATTATTCTCACAATTAACTTTCTCTATTTATTTCTGTTATTAAAGGGTCAGAAAAATCCCTAAAGAAGAGCTTCGATTTGTTTGACGAGTACTTGGACGTGCGGATCCACAACAAGTTCTTCCGATTGATCGGAGTCAGCGACAACCACATTCGGATCGCGGAAAACGGCCCCGCCGGCGACAAAGTTTATGACCTACTGAAGAACTGGATGCAGAGGCAGGGACTAAAAGCCGACATCAACAACCTGCTAGACGCTCTGCTAAGCATGGACCAGCGGCGCTCGGCAGAGAGCATCGCCTCCATGGCGCTGCAGAGAGGCTACTATAAGCACGCAGACACGCCCTGAAGGCGGACGCAACAGGGGACATCAAGTGAAGAAGACACTAAATACAAGACAAAATAAAAAGCACACAGAAACTGTCGGTGGATGTTGTGTCTCACGAACAGGCTTACCTCTTTGTGGCGGCCCGGCCATGTATTCAGAAGCCAGTAGTTTTGAAAAGAAAAAAAACACAAAAAGGGGAAGGTCGAGTCATACTGATGAGCGCTCCGAGGATGTCGACTATCTGCCAAACACTGATGTGTTATAATGAACACGAAGAAGAAGGAGGTTTGTGGTCACGTTCAATAGCTAACCCAGCGACCCAAACACAAAAAGAGCAGAAAAAAAACATGAAGGCGTCATCTTCAAACCGCTGCGTGTTTCCAGACTGTTGCGAAGCAACACGCGGTCAAATACTGAAAGTCTCTGGGTGTTTGTGTGTGTGTGTCGCTCTTCTGGTCCCCCACCCAGATCACAGCACACGACCTGGGGACAAGCATATACACTGGTTTGTAGAAGTGGCATTACCTATGTCACTTATACTGTGCCTCACTGATGCACTGACCTCTGGCACATGTAGGATTAAAAACTACAATAATGCTATGTTTTTATTTTCGTTTGTTTGTTGTGTCCACAAGCATTTTGTCCGTTCATTCTGCCAACAGTTAACATGCAGTCTCGCTAATCATAAAATGTACCTCTTCAGTGCCGTTTGATAATCTAAATATAGTGAGGTTTCATCCTTTTTATAATTATGATACCATTCATACAGCATTGGTGAGTCAGAAATGTTCGTACAATCACGGCACATCGTAGAAACCTCTTCGTCCGGTCTTTTACGTCTTCAGTGTTACTACTCAGACATGACGTTAGTGAACTGTCACACAGGCTGTTTCTGTTAGAACACCTTTGGATAGTTTAGTTTAAAAGATGTTTCCATGATATTTTCAAGTAACTTAGAACATTTCAGAGGTCGTTTTTATTTATTGATATATTTATTGTATTGAATAATAATTATATTTTATTATTTATACCATTGGCAAAAGCGACCCTGAAAAACAAGCACACTGTCTGTTTATGTTGTAATGATGTCTAGCTACAGGGCAAAAATTACTGACTTCACATTTTTCAAGGTGTGATTGAAACTTTGATCAAACCCCCGTTTCTCGTTATGTCGATATTGAGTGTGCCATTTCCTCACGAATGACTTTCCATTCGCAGCACGTGCACATCAGTGTGGAAGCTTACTTGATGCCGAAAAGTAGAACGTGTCAAATTTGAAGGTTTAAAATGACGCCTGGTTGAGCCCAGCTTTGTAAGTTAACCGTCTGACCGGATAGTCCGACCACACACGTCAGCGGTGACTCGTGGTGCAGGTACGGATTGTTTAGACTCAGAGGAAGATGAAGGAAAACTTTTCTGGATTCAAAAAAGAAGCTCAAATGTGTTTCCCCGATTCTGTCCAGTGTACATAAGAATGTCTGAAGAGCGTTGAATCCTCACTAAAAGCATATGCACATGCTCTATAATCCAAAATGAAGATAGTGAGGTATGAAGTTATTGAAGAAATGCAAACCAGAGTAGGTGCAGTTCAGGTTGTGACCCCTGAAACCATTTTTTCTGCCGTCTCGTGTATAAAGAGTTACAGAGTTATATATTGTTGCTGAGAGTCATTCTACAGTGCTGGCACTGCCATCTATTGACAGACAATGAAAATACAGCCTGCATCAATTTCTATGGGGACCCTACACACACTGCTTTCTCACCTAACACTTTACTTTAAGCATCTTTTTTAACTCCTCCATTTTTCCTCTCAGCCTTTTTGAAGTAGCATAGCAGTGAATAGGCTTCAGCGCATGTTCAAGTGAGTGTATGTCTCTTTTTTTACATATATACTCTGTTTTTTTACATATTTCATTGCAAGTCCTGAGCTGTTCAATCAACTTCCCTCGTGTAACAACCTTCTGTCCAGCCATTTAAAATAATTTCCTCACCCTTAGTTATTGTTTGCTTGTCATGGATTTCAGATTTACATTATGCAAATATGTCAAAAAGCTGTTTTTTGTCAATTTTAAATAAATGTTTTGTACAGATACTTTAGTGTGAAGTGACTGATGTTTTCATTGTTGTACACCAGTGTCAAGCATTAATCAAGTATTTTTAATTTGAACCACTGTGCTGCCAGATTGTGAAATGTTTAAACATCCCAATATGGAAGTTCAATTTATTTTTGTAACACACAACTTATTAAAGTAAGAATGATCACAAATTATATAAATCTTTTGATTTCAAGAGTGATCATGGTACCTAATTGTTTAAGGTCAATGCTACATAATGCAACATAGCTAGCTTTCCAAACCCTTCTGTGTTTTGTCTGGAGGTTTGTATGTTCTCAGCTTGTTCACCAGTTATTCATCTGCATTTCTCCAGTGTTGAGTTGATAATAATATGATGTGGCTGACTCAACTGTCTAACAGGACATTGTACTTCATATACTGGCCAGTAGGTGATGGTTTTGTTAGTGACCAATTATTGTTTGTCGAATTGTTATTCTTAACGCAAACATTTCCAATCAGATTTCTACGAAATGTTGTGGAAGTGAGTCGACAAAGAATCTGTAACATTTCAGTAAAGATCCAGGAATTTTTTATCACTTTCTTTAACATCAGACAATCATTTATTGATCTTATGCAATCATGCAATCCTCTTATTTATGAACTTTGGGGCAGATTCAGATAAAAGTCTGGATGTAGATGATTGAAATGTGGTGTTATAACAGGACCTTTGAGTCGTGACACTAGTATTTGCTCTGTGTGTCATTCTAATCATCTCTGCCAAGGTCAAGGAGGTTGTGTTTGTTTGTTTGGATTACGCAACAAAGAGCTGAACTGATTTGATCCAAAGGATTAGAGGCCATGCAGGGAAACTGTTCAATCTCAATTTTTCAGGAAATCATTTATGAATATTTGTGTAAAATTAATCTGATGTTGAGAATTACATTTTAGGAGCTAGACATACGCATAGGATTGGCTTCGGTGGACGTACAGTATGTGCCATTGATTTCCCTGCAGTTATAAAGATTACCTTCAGTCTCCATCAGGACATGATCAGCTGATAATGTATTTTTTACAAAGTTCAAATCCTTTACTCACTCTGTGCATTTTAATTAGTTTCAGGATTTAGTCTGTTCCTCTCTGTACATCACGGTCATTGAGACGTTGGGTATAACTGAGAAGATTTTCACTCTTTCCTCTCACAGAGGGAGTAACTCTATTCTCTGAGTTGTCGTGGCTTCTTTTTCTTCTTCTTAGAATATTGCGGTGGGTGTGGAAAGTATTTTTACCCCTTTTGAATACTCCATCAAAATGGTAGAAATGATTGAATTCATCGTCATTAAGCCGGTTATCATCGTGGTCACTGACAGATGCGCGTTCTGTCACCGGTTCTCCTGTTCCCTTCAATGCAGCTGTAGGTTCCCTTGAGGAAATCGTCTTTGATCTCATTGCTGTAAATCTCTCCATGCAGTGTTTCCACCCGGCCTCGGTGCGATGGATTAAACCTCTGCAGAGCGGCACCGTGTTGTCTGTCGACTGTGGAGGAAAACTTTCATCAGTTTTCATGCTTCACTATGTTATACTTAGTGGAAATTCATCATTTTTACTTTCAAGAATCTGTTTACTGATTGTTCTTCAAATTTCTATCCTACTTGCAGCACTATCAGTTTTACCTCCTTTTGTATTCTCCCATCTTGCTGGATATTTATTTCAATCTTTGAGAAAAACTTTGACAAAATCCGTCAACTTGCTTTTCAGCAGTGAGAAGAACACACGGACACCACAAATACCAACATTCGGCGGCTAGCCATGTAGCTCAGCTTAGCACAAAGACTATAAAAGGACAGTGGTGGGTCTAGGATTTTTCATAATCAGGGGCCATTAAGTTTCCACAGAGGGGCCGATTGTATCACCAACATCCATGAACCATTCTGATTCAGTGAGGTGCTCATTTAGGTCATTCCTTGTTTGCTGTTTGCTCTACGGCTTTGAGAAAAGACACACATCCTTGCATATACTCTGAAAAAGAATTCTTTTTGAGGCACATTGTGTATTTCAAAAAGGCTTAGAAAATAAAATGTCTTAACAAATTGTTACATTCATTGATTGTTTGTATGGTTGGCGTGCAACTTTGAGACCACATAAGCCTCTTCCATGAACTCCAAAGGATGTCCACAGAATTGGTTCAGACTTTCTCTGGAGTTTGCCTTTCACACATGAGCAACGCAACAGGAGTTCAGCGTTCAGGTGAGGTGGGTGTGCCATAGAAATTGGCAGGATGTGACATATTAATTTTGCGGTGGAGATTTTGTCATCTGTGTTTGTGGCTCCGATTTTCATCCTAAGATATTTGCATTATTTTCATTTTTGCTTTGTCAACACACCCACTGGCTCACTGTGAATCCTGCGGAGGATCTCCTGCTGTGTTCTCACATCGTCTCCATCGGACATTCTGCAGAGATCAGTAGAGGACACAGTAAACTTTTATTAGACTAGGATGTTCGGTACCACTGTCTGGTACCACCACTTCACTTACTTTTGGGAGATTTGTCATGTACTTGAAGATTGTTTTGAACATTTTTGAAAACGAGGTCCCTCCTGGATCATTTTCCTCCCTTCCAGTTTTTGGCCTGTTTATCATATCATCTTTTTTCTCCTCGGTGCCTCCATGAGCTGCTGGAGCGTCTTCTCTCATCCTGAGGCCTGAGAATATCCTGTCGGTCGTGGATTCTGTAATCGTTGTTTTATATTTGATAAATCTGGGCCCTGGACTTGGCGCAGATGTCTGGGTCTCCTCTGTATTCTGCAGTCCGTCGGTTGTCTTTGTGCTGTTTTGATCAAGGACATCTGGACTTGCCGTTGTCTGCTTTATCTCCATGTTTATTGTTGTTGTCTGTGCTGTGTACTCTGTTATTGTCTTTTCTGTTCCCATCATTCTGTGTGAGGGAGGTGACGGTAAAACTGATACTTCTGGTGCGTCTCCCGATTGTTTTGTACGATTTACGCTCATATTTTCATACGGTACTACTTTTTCTGTCCTTTCATTGACCGTATATCCAGACACTGTAGTTACCTTCCATGCAGGTTTCATATCTATTCTCTTTCTTCTATGTATTGCATAGATGCCAAATGGAAATACAGCTTCTGTCAAGCATGTACACTTTGAGTTATCTCCTTCTGTTATGAAGCCTTTCTTGGGTGGGGGGTCACCCGGCTCCTTTAAGGGTATATTTACTGTTTTCCATCCAGTGTCTGCTTTCAGAGTGACTTTTATTTCTGTTTGCATCTCTGCATCTGGAAGGAGCAGCATGATTAAGGCGTCTTCACCCACCTCAGTAAGCACACGTTTGTGATCGGCATCATTATCCTCCATTTTATATGTGGAATCTGTTTGTGAGGTGCATGCTAATCTTTCCCGGTTCTCATTTTCAACTGTATTTGTGCGCGATCCTTCACTTTCTCTTTCTACCTCTGAGCGCCGAAGCTCTGCCGCTTGTTTTGTGATTATGTTCCCATTGAAATCTCCTTTATTATCATCCTGAGTGGCCCTGAGCTCACACCGCGGTCTATTTCTAGACTCTTTATTCTTGCCGGAGACTGACAAGAGCTGCCTCTTAACGGCGAATCCGTTGTCATTGGCAGCTTTTAAAGAAAGTAGTTTCTGAAGACTTTTGTCCAAGTTGAAATGTTCATTTTTCCTCATGATACAGGCTGCACTTCTCTGTATCCTTAATTGTGATGTATCTGAGTTTTTCACTGAAGAGCTGCCAGAGTGCAGAGAGGACGTTTGGAAAATATCACGTTGACCGACTGAGGCTTTTAAAGACTGTTGTCTGTCATACTGCCGGAGAACTTTGAAGCCTGTCGCCTGCTGCGTGCCCTCTTTTTGGGGTTCTGCTACGTGTTTGGACATTTTTTTTATTTTCATTGCTGGTCTTGTTTCACCATCTTTAAGATAACAGTAGATAACCTCAGACATGGCAGCTGGTGCCCAGCTCTTGGGTATCTTCTTTGAGAAAGCCTGTGAATTGTGGCCTGAGGCTGCTGTGCAATGATACAGGAGCCATGTTGGCCCTGATTTAGGCCGATCTTTGATTACATCCATGGAAATATCAGCACCAGTCAGAGTGCCTCTGCTGTCAATGTCCATCACTGGAAGGCTTCTTCCCTCTTCAGGAAAAAGAGAAACAACCTGAGGTGGCAAGAGCAGAGGATAAAATAACATTAAAGAACAATTACTAAGCAAATACATGAGTCAAAATTGAAAACAACTGCTGTAGCCACTTCTATGTGCCTTATGTTATATTGATGTAGGTGGTATGTTACTCTAATGTTGCTGCTGCTAGGTCAGATGTGGTATTCCCTATAGCCACATGTCGACTATATTTGGGATTCACAGGTGAACAGCTATAGGGAATTACAATCAGGGGAAGCTGCACCGTTTTTCATCCATGTGTGAGCATCTGCAGTTTTGTCTTGGTAGATTCTTAGAAGTTCACAAGCTCCTTTAAATTATTGCAGTGCACTCTGCTTTTTGTTGGTGTTTATGCACTGCTACGCATTGGGAATGACTTTAGATTCCCTCAAGTTTAGTTGTTTGGCTGCCACGACCACAACAATTCCAAAGACACTAGTCATCGTTCATGTAAAAAATCTGCCATGTTGGTAGCATGGCTCTAGGGATAGCAGTCCTTGAGCGGTTGGTCCACTTCCTGGTTCCACCCCTGGACTTTTCTTCTTATACCACCATGAGGTTGATAATTCTAGTTTTTAGTGCTATATCTCTGCAACGAAATGTCTCCTCCTTTGCATGAACTGGTCACTTCAACATTTCATTATCAGGTCACATTCTAAAATTTAAACTAATAACATTTCCGTCAGCAGTACTCTGTGTGCAGTGCTACTTATGATAACATGCAAAACTAAGACAGTGGCCACACTAAACATGGTACTTGCTAAACATCTATATATATGCATGTTTGTCATTATATTATTTAGCTTTGTGTGGCCTCATGGAGCACCAAACATGGCTGTAGAGTTTAGATTTTTAAAGCAGGAAGTGAGATTTGTTAATGATTCTTTCCCTCCATGCTCAGTTTTCCTAACAATTAGGGCACCGTTCTCTGAGCCCATGAATACACTAGACACACACTGTTGACCCAGAGCGTCGCTATCTGTGCAAATAGAGAGGAGATCAGTTTCTCAAACAGATTAATTCACATTCCGCAACGGTTGCACTCAACTCCATTTTCGACATGTCAGTTTAGGCATGAAGAAATATTACAATGCGTTTCATTGTTAGTAATCTGCCTGGCAGGTTCCGACAGGAGCGGGAGTTTCACAAGTTATGAGTTAAAAGCGTTACTGTGACTGCAAACAGCTTGAAAATGATTTTTACTTCCAAACAGGTGCAAAAATATGCTGCACGTCAAATTTTCAGTGCGAAATTAGAAGGAAAATAAACCTGCTTGTTACTGCTTGCATCATTGGCTTCATGTTCGCGTGATTTCGAAGACTGCAGCAATCCCACCTGGTGAGCTGATAATTCATGCAAACACAAGAGCAGCAACACTGAAATATGTTGTGGATGGAAATAACTGTGTGTTGATAGGTTAAAACAGCTCGTGAAGGGTATGGATTACAGTGGCAAGAGAGAACAAGACATGAGTAAGCACAGAAAGTCATTTAGTGGATTAATTGATCACATATTTCACACAATATTTCAATGTTTCACACCGATATTGACAGAAATAGACATACCAGTGCTGGAACATGACTCCAATGAATTATCTCTGTCAAATGGCGATGAGTCAAACTATTCCTGTGATCATCATGTGCTGCGTATGCCAAGTAAAAAGGGAAGGTTCTTTGTTTGTGCTGCATACAAACATACACGCGGCTTCTCCGGATGCACATACAGTGACACTCAGGTTGTGTCCTTGGTCCTTTGGAAGTCACCCGTCCATTGAGGAGAAGTTTTCCGTAATAATCAGTGACCTTGTCCCCATCTCCGCTAAGAGACAGGTCAGAGACGAGCAGGGACATCAGCAGCAGCCACATCCTCATTGTGCTGAGGATACATGTTAGAAGGCCTCATCAGCCCAAACGCCTCTTATCGTTATTACATTTCCACTTTGTATATGTAAAACCATGCAGCTCTGTCTAACAAGGTGCTGCAATTACAAGGAAGCAGCTCTCCATGACTCTCACAGTGGTAAAACCTTGAAAGAATGATATTATGTGATGAGGTGGCAATCTTCTGTATTTTGAATTCATCTGATTCTGTCCTGGACTTCAGATTTTCTGTTTCTGTTTTCTATGATGGATGTTCACCTTGTTTTCAGATTTGTGTTCTGTGTTTGGTTGTTTGAGCTCAGAGTTCTTCGTTTTCTGCTCTACCTTTAAACTTGTTTGATTGTGTCTCTCTTGCTTTACTTCACCTTTGTCCTGTTTCCTGCCCTTGCACATGTCCTGGCGTGTTCATCCTGAGTATATAGTCTGTGTTCCTGTTTTGTCTGTGGCTTTTCCTCATGACTCAGTTGGATTTTTTATTCGCTCAACCCATGTTTCTGTTTGCCTGTCACTGGAGACCATAAGCCTGTTTTGTGTCACCTTCACCAGTTAAAACTTCTGCGTTTGGGTCCTCAGCAAAACTTGACAATATATCAAATTACATTAGAGCATAACCCAACTCTATAACACTGTGCACACATTGAAAACATATTTCATAAAATGTATATACACAACATAATAAATATGCTGTAAATAGTACAATAAACATTGACAATTAAATTGTTTCAGTAATATCTACACATCTAGAATAGTTGCTTTAATTTCTTATTTCTAAGGACTCTGCAAAATGACCCATGGATGTGGTTTGCTCTTATCAAGCATCGACATACAGTTTATTTCCCTGTGCTGGCTTTGCTCAGATTTTTGCATATTACCAGACCTACACTCCTTAGATGAGAAAGAGAGTCACAGAGCGTTACCGTCACCTGATTAAGTTTGTTGCTCCTTCGCCGCATCACCAGGTGAGAATTTATCCAAAAGAAGAAGATATTTGCATGGCGAGTAACTGTAGTTTTATTATCTGATCATTGTTATAATGAATCGTGCATTTTGCTGTGTGGTGAGAAAAGAGTTGTGAATGAATGTATGTGCTTTGAAAGTTAAAAAAATAATAAGAAAAAGCAGACTGATTAACACGGGAAGATATAATACTGAAGTATAGCC